TCTTTCTTGCAAACAATCTTTATTTTCCTATTCCTATTGATTGTCTATTTGCTGCCATTTTGCCCCACAAAAGAAAAACTCAGGAGCCAAAATGTCCTTTTATTTTTTGCTTTTAAATTTGAATGATTTCCTCACATTGGTACCAATAAAGCAGAGTAAACACACCTGAGGTCTGTACCTTCCAAGCTGGATTAGTGTGCATTTAAGTTATGATGTAGGTTAAATAACTGATCCTGGGAACCTAATCTGTAGAAGATAAGACGATGCGTTAAGACGCAGCCTCTAAAGTCGTTAAAACACAAAGGATATGGTAAAAGGGTAAAAGGCTCTTCCTCATCGGCGACATCATTAGGTTCGAGTTTAGTTCGTTTACTAACAGCAGGCGTTTGCTACTTGGGCTGAAGATTTTCAATCAAATATTTTTTTACTCACGGGGTACAAAAATACAGGATTGGTGTAAAATTAATAGCAGATAAAATAGTTATAAGACGCATAATCTAACGAGCAGTTTGGCTTTTTAACAGCTTGAGGCAGAGAGCTCTATAAACCTGCAACATGGCAGCAGCTCAGGATAATAGAGGTCTCAAAAGTATTAAGGTTAAGTGGAAATATAAATCCTACTGTTTAAAAACACTTATGTAGAAGTTAGAGCTTAAAGCTTTTTAACTTAAAAGTGTAAAAGTACCATTTTTTTTTTTTAAAAACTACTTAAAGTATAAAAACAAGCCTATGCTATATAAAAAAAACATTTTTCTACGAAATAACCTTATATTTAATTTTCTTAGTTTTATAACTAATGGCAAGAATGTCAAATTTAACTTTGCATCATCTTAAAATAATTTTGGTATGTGGTGAACAAGTTGGTGCAGTATCCAGTCAAACCACAAAGAAATTGTCAGGATGAAGCAAATTATTTTGATGTTTTTGTTTTTTTTTTCTTCCAAACCAACAGGCCATAATGAAAGGTAGCTTAAATAAAAGGAAACTAACGAATCTATTTTCAAAATGTAAGGAGTGGAAATTAAAAATGTAAAAAGTTGTCTAAAAAATAATTACTCCAGTATAGATGGTAATAAAAAAAGTATCCTACTTAAGTAAGGTAACAAAGTATTTGTACTCTGTTACTTGACACCTCTGATATTCGTAAACAGTGTGAGAGGATTCTGATATACATTTTTGCCACTTCCAATACATAAATTTAGATCTATGCGAATCCCTTTAGCTTTCCGATACCAGAGCTGCGATGACAGCCTCTTTAATAAATAAAAATATAAAAAATGTACATATGTATAAATAAATAAACACATGTATATCCCAAAATACAAAGAGAGGGGTAAGAAAAAGAAACCATAGACGTTAAAATGCGTTAATAGGACAAATCCTTCCTGGAAGGCTTAAAAGTTACTGAATTTACTGAATCAAAAGGAGAAAGCTATTCTTGATATTGTTTTTTTTCATTTTCGATATAGAACACGCTTAATGGCCTTAATGGATAGGGCTTACTTTTACTGATACCTGATTGAGAATTTTCCACATCAAGACAATACATATATTATTATCGGATGGGTTCATCTCTAAAATGCACCCTTGGACGGAGAATGGGAACAATCCAATCACCTCTTCAGCTCCCCTCACAATCCCTTCCAGGACCCTTTTATTTTTTCTGCCTTATTGCAGCAAAAACGCCACGCTGAGCAACATTGGCTACTGCTCAATGTTTAAAATCTCTAAGGAAGTCCAGTTTTCCATCACAGAACCCGATCATGTCAGCAGTACGGTGAATTTAAATGCATCCATTTCACTTGATAAAACAAAAGAACTCTGCCTACTGGACTAGCTTCATCTGATCCAATTTAATTCAGTCAAGACTTGAGCTTTCTGTCTTATTAACTGGTGCCTCCTGCTGCATAGGAACACAAAGAAAAGCGCAGCGGGGAGCTGGATCTGTGTAAAAGCAAAAAAAAAATAAATAAAACACCTGTTTTTTTTTAGCCAGGTTTGGGTGTGTTAGAGAGACCATTCCCTTAAATAAAGATTTAATGAAATGGTCTTCGAGCTGCTTCAGGTGTACTATGCTGTTTCAGATTCATCACTGGTTTTCTGTTTTGACCACATTCACTATAAGATGATGTAAAAGAAAATCTGCATAGAAACAGAAAAATAAATACATCCTGCTTGAATATAACCAGTCAACAATAGACTGAAACATAGGAATGAATGTAGTTCATAATGCAGAAGTCTTCACAGCTTTGTGAAAGTTGATTTCAGTGCAAACCAGCATCGTCTTTAAACCAACATTACAATTTGGTTTATGTTGGGAGCAAAATAGGACGTATTAATGAACAAACTCTCTGGTCTAAAATGTAAACTGTTTATTTCGGCACATTTACATTAAATCTTTTACTGCAAAAACTTTCCATCTATCCAAGTTTTACAATATTTTTGTGAGATTGTACACCTAAGATCAGATTCTCTTAGATTATTAATCTGATAAGAAAAATGTACTCAAATAAGTGCAACAATCTGCCAGTTAGACAGTCGCACCTGGAAATACTTTTTAAAAACAATAACATAATCTGCTCTTGCTGAGTTGATGTAAAAAATTTGATAAAAAAAGACTTGAAATGGACCATTTTGCTTTTTTTTTTTTACCCATCATGCCTTAAAGGCTCCTATAAATTGATCAGACGGCATCTTAATCCTGCTTCAAAGTACAGATCTCAGGTTTTATTAAGGCGACTTCTGTTTGTCAATTATAAACTTTAAATTTAAGTTTGTTTTTTTTAGTTTTCAGGTTTTAAAGCTGTTAAAGTAATTAGAAGCAGTTACTGTTGCTCTACTGTTGGTAGGAATTTGTCGTGACCAACACACAGCTTCAGATGGAGGCTTTAGACATCAAGTTTCTGGCTACAGTTTTTAGAAGTGCATTTAAAAAGGAAGCACAGCAGTGGTGGTATTTTTTTTTCTGGGCCTTTTTTTCTGCAAATATATGAATATTAAAGACATGAGTCGATGATTTCTCACCTTTAGTTTGCAGAAATGGAAAGAAGCCTCTGATGTTTATTGTTGGGATCAGGAAATCAGAAAGAAACAGATTTCTAATCATGATTGGGGTTCTAGAAGGTCTAGAATGACTTATTTTCACCTGTAGAATCCAACCAGTTGATCCTGCAGGGAGAACCTCTCCCATCCCCTCTCAAGCAAAAAAAAAAAAAAAGCATAAAGAACGTTCAGTATTTTGTCAAATGCACTGTGGCTACAACATTAAACCAAATATTTTTGGAAGAAAAGTGCTCAGCTGTGCGCTTTAGGTGTCATAATCAGCAGGCCGGTAATAATGAGAGGCTTTGCTACAAAAAGTAATGTTTGGTGCCCGGTACTCATCCAGGTGGAACTGAGCTTTTCTGAGTCCTGTTTTCCTCCTTTTTTAATTATTTTTATTTTGCAGATCACAAGCAGTCAAAAAAGAAAAGATTTTTTTTTTTAGCAAATTGTCTGTTGTCTCTTTCTGAGTAAAGGTCTGAAACCTATGCATGCCATAGTAAAGTGGTGGTAAGATCAAGTTAGATGTCTCCTTTATTTTTCTTCCGTTTGGTTCTCCTTTATAGCCAGTTCACGGTGTTTTAAGGAAGATGTCAACCAGTACGTTGTCCACTGCTGACTGTCCATGTGGAGATGATAAAAAAAAAAAAATGTGCAATTTGTGTGAGGGTGAAAAGATTTATATTAAAAAGGACAATGATGAGAGCAACTTGTGTGGATGCTGCGTCAGGCCCGAAGCTCGGGTTCTGTTTCCGTCCTCCTTTTTGAGGGTTTTGTGAATTCAGATCAAATTAATCCCGTGTGATGCGCTTCTCAGAAATAGTACCTAAATCACACTGAAGTAAAAAAAAAAAAAAAAGTAGAAATCTTTGGGTTTCAGACTTTTTGTCTTTCAACACCCAAAATATTTATTCTCTAAAAGTCTGAGATATGTTGTAGCCTCTTCTTACTTTCTACTGTTCTACTTGGAATATTCAGTTTTTTTTCCAAGGTCAAAGTTCAAAGAGTAACTGCATAAAGTTGTGCATTATTATCCAATATTAGCCAGGAGAAAACATTTCCTCATCCATGAATTAATGGAAAAAGGAAGAAAGTCTTGAAAGGTTTTTTTTTATTTGAACTCTTGTTTCTATGACCTTCATGAAAAATGGCTAATTATCAATAAGAAGCTTAATATTCTGGGAACAGGAATTTGTCTTTTAAATCAAAAGCATTACCGTGGGCTTATGGAAAATATGACTGGATCAACAATGGAAGAAAAGTGCAGAAATGGAGTTCAGCTAAAGCTGTTTTTTTTTTTATATAGTTTTCTTTTCGGACTGAAAGTGATGCTGTTGAGTGACCTGCCAAAAGATCCAGCCTGAAAGACATAGAAATTAAGGTCATGGCAAAGAGCCGTTCCAACCCCAGAATTCATCAAAAACATGTTTAAATAAAAACAGGAATATGAGAACAGTCAGAAAGACGGGTTATTCCATCCAAAGATAAGACAAATTTCTCTTAAAAGTGATTCTCCTTTGCATTCTTCCATATTTCCTTTATTAAAGGAGTACAAATATTAACTACACATCACTGACATATTTAACAATTTGGATGCATCAGCCAATTGTTCTGACCACTGATGCCCCCTAGTGGTAGTGGTAGAGATTTTGGTTCAACATGATTTCTGCGAGTTTATATTTATAAATCAGAAATTAAGATCAAAATAAAACATTTTTTGTTTTGTTTACTGGAGATAGAATAT